TTGAGCACCGCCATGTCTTCCTGATCGAGTAGATCCATTAGGATGCTTCCTCTAGGATCCGGACAAGGACAGCTCCAAGTTGGATGATGCCCATTGAGGTCTCCGACAAACATCCTTGGTTCGGGTAGCTGGCTGAAAGCGCCGGTGATTTTATTCGACAGATTTTGTCCCACATGGCAGGTATGCACAGGCAATGGCAATGTTTGCGGGCTTCTCCAATTGAACAGCACCTATGGGAAGATCAGTTCCCAGGTCAATCTCGTTAAAAGGTATGCTCCTTAGAACACCGATGGCTACGGAGTGGCGAAAATTGCTACCTCTTTTGAGGGTCCAGGCGTATTTTTCGGTAAGCGAACGGTCCATCTGGAGAGGGTGGATTTCTGTGGCAAAGCATCTCCAAGTCACCGAGGTGGTTCAGGAAACCGTTCACGTTCCACTGGAGGATAAAGCTGATCGTAACTGGTAGAGCAGGAACGGGGTGTCTACTGGTGGTAACGTCCTCGGAGGGACAGCTCAAGTCTTCCAACTCGCTGATATCAAACAAGTGGGAGGCTTGCGTCTGACTAGAGTTGCTGCTTGACAGTTCGCTGTGTCCAGAATAAGACGTAGCCCCACCAGGGGCAGGCGGAGTGGTTCCGCCCACTCAGGGCAGGGATTTCCCAACGGTGGTGTGATCAAAGATGGTCTTTTGTTGGATGAGACGTAGCCCCACCAGGGACAGGTAAAGCCCTACAGTAAAAGTATGGACGACTGTCACCACAAAACTGGAAAAAGCTGTTTCAATCGAGCAAAGCGGTGCATTTTGATGGTTCGATTGGAACAACTTTTGACAGACGTCCATACTTTTACTGTAGGGCTTTAGGGACAGGTGGACGCTCACAGCGAAGCGTCGTATGTGAAAAAAAAAACAAAGCAACCATTATCAATCAGCAGATGCGTCAAGTTGTTTCTAACTAGATACAAAATGGATTTCAACGGGATTCGGCTAATGTTAGGTATGTTTTGTTAAATATTCTTGACTAAAACATAAATATTATAAATATATATTTTTTAGATGTAGCCACCCAGAGATGATGCTGAGAAGGAAGAATTAAAACGACAACACGAACTACATCAGATGTCAGCCAAAGTAGTGCACGACGAGAAGAAGAAAGACAAAGCGCTTGCCAAAGAAGATCCCACTGTTCGGACCGCAAGATTCTAGAGACGTATCTTCACTGCAAAACAAAACCGGTGTATCTGATTTAACGTATGTGAAAACCATTCTGTCAAATAGACGAACCATGCAGGGTGTATTTAACAATCAAGGTGTGATACCGACGAATCAATCAATGTTTCTGTGAGTAGTACACAAGTTAATGGTGTATCATTTTGTTTTATAAAAAGTCTTGTCCGTGTTTGCGAAAACTCAACATTTTTCACAATTTCCCTCAACGCAACTTCCCTTTAATTATCGAAACTAATTTAAATCTTCAATAGTCTAGATTTCCTGGTGCCTAAACGATTACTGAATTTCTTTAAAGTTCTCTAGACTGCCCTGAATTTATCAGTAGTTTTTAAGAACCCGCAATTTTACTAAAATTTATTAATTTGCTTTGATATTTCGAAAATTTTCCTTAAGTATTAAAATCATTATTAACACTCGCTAATTTTCCCTGAACTTATCTATGCTTACCTGAAGTTCTATAAATTCGTTTAATAATCCAGCAAATTTTCTGATATATATTCACAATTCTCTGATGTTTCTTATGTTTTCGGATCAGTCATAGAATTCTTGGAATGGAACTCCTTCCAAGTCGCTGCAAATTTGCTTAAGTCAATGGAATTATTCTGAAGCTATCTGATCGTCCTCTGAAGCTATCTGATATCTAAATTTAGTTCTTTGGAATTTCTTGAAGATATCGCTGCTTGCTAAAAGTTCTCGTTTTTTTTTTATTAATGGACCTTCGTTGATGTTCTCTAATCAATTTAGCCAAATTTTCGCATTTATCACACCCTTAAAATACTCTCACGTTTTCCGGATGTTCATTTAATTTTGTATCACGTTCCAACAATTCTCTCGGAGTTTAGCTGAAGTTTTCGGAAATTCACTGAGTGTATCGAAACTTATTTAAGGTTTCTAATGTTTCCTTGAAATTATTTGAACTACCCTTGACCTGTCTTGATGTACTCGAAGCTTCCATAAAGCTCTTAGTTCTATTGAAGATCTCGATTCTGCTCGGAAATAAATTGAATTCCCTTAAACACCTTTAAATTTCCCTGAAATTCTCTGGACTTCTGTGAAGTTTCTAACACATGTCTGAAATTTTTATAAATTCTCTGAAGGTCTCTGTACTTCCCTGAAATTCGCGGAACATATTAAGGGTTCTCGATTTGTTTTTCAGAACATCATGGAACTATCTTGAACTGATCTAAATTTACGATTATAGATTTTAAACTGCTCCAAAAGTCTGGACTATAAAGGGTGATACGGTCAAAATTTGGTCAAGGGAAAACGCGTGTAAATCGGTGAAATCGTTTATTTAACAAATCAAATTAAATTTCTTTTTCAAGTTCAATTAGTATAAAATTCAGGAAAAATATTCAGTTAGGCTTCCGCTTTTCCAAATCCGAATTGCCGGGCCTTACGCTTGACCCCTGCCATCAGATTTTGTACAGCCACCTTGTCCACCTTCTTCGCCGCAGAAAGCCAGTTTGCCTTGAACTGCTGCTCGCCCTTAGCAGTTTTTTTGGTCTTCTTTAGGTTCCGCTTGACAATAGCCCAGTATTTCTCAATTGGGCGGAGCTCTGGCGTGTTGGGAGGGTTCTTGTCCTTGGGAACCACCTGCACGTTGTTGGCGGCGTACCACTCCATGGCCTTTTTACCGTAATGGCAAGATGCCAAATCCGGCCAAAACAGTACGGAACAACCGTGTTTCTTCAGGAAAGGCAGCAGACGTTTATTCAAACACTCTTTCACGTAAATTTCTTGGTTGACAGTCCCGGAAGCTATGAAAATGCTGCTTTTCAAGGCACAGGTACAGATGGCTTGCCAAACCAGATATTTCTTTGCGAACTTTGACAGTTTCATGTGCTTGAAAACATCTGCTACCTTTCCCCTTCCTTTTGCCGTATAAAACTCCTGTCCCGGAAGCTGCTTGTAGTCGGCTTTGACGTAGGTTTCGTCGTCCATTACCACGCAGTCAAACTTCGTCAGCATCGTCGTGTACAGCCTCCGAGATCGCGCTTTGGCCGTCGTATTTTGTTTATCATTGCGATTTGGAGTCACTACCTTCTTGTAAGTCGATAGTCCGGCTCGTTTTTTGGCTCGATGCACGGTTGTAGACGATACACCCAGCTTATTTGCGGCATCTCGGAGAGAGAGGTTAGGGTTTCGCTTGAAACTACCGGCAACTCTCTTTGTCGTCTCAGCGGCTTCCGGTTTTCGATTTCCCCCCGATCCAGACTTCCTGGCTGTCAAAAAACGTTCCCCAAACACTTTAATTACATTTGTAACGGTTGATTTGGCAACTTTTAGCGATTTTGCCAACTTTGCGTGCGAGTAGCTCGGATTTTCGCGATGCGCGAGCAAAATTTTGATACGCTGCTCTTCTTGCTTGGACGGCATTTTGACAACTGAAGAGTGAATTCCAAAATCAAAATAGGAGCAACATTCTACACACACACACCTTTAAAATGAGGGGTGTTCAGGTTTTTTAAATGCAAAATTGAAAGAAATACGTCAAGTTGATATTGACCAAATTTTGACCGCATCACCCTCTAGCTACGGGAACTGCTCTTAAGATCTAAAATTTCCCAAAGATTTCTAGATCCAGCTTCTTAACAATTTGCACAATACCCCTCAAGTTTTCTTAAATTTCTCAAGTTCGCTTGTCCCCTGTTAAGTTCTATGAAATTCTAGGAACTTCATAAAAGTTCCTGAAAAGTTTCGGATGCTAAAAGAACCGCTTTGAGGTTCTTACAGCTTCCAGTCAGTTTCCATATTTTCAGCGTGTTAACTACCCTTATGTTTCTGCAGTTTGTTTATTGAGCTTCACTGAAATTATCAGCATTTCCTTTCATTTCTCAGAACTTTTCCAAAGTTCCTACAATTGTGGTAAAGTTAATGGGACTATAATGAAGATCTCTTTTCTTTAATAAAGTTACTTTCGAACTTGAAATAAATCATTTTTAATTCTGGCACTTTGAAAATTTTCAATATCTTGAACTTGTACATGGAATACGAAACTTCAAGGCATTGAATATTTTTAGATCTTTGGAAAACTCAGGTAATTTTATCCAGAAAAATGAGCAGACATCCTGTACATAGAGAAAGACAATTAAGCGTCACAACGCAAAGAATAATCAATCTTGAAATAAATTCACGCTAAAAAAGTTGAAAATAGCGACTGATTACAATAAAAAGTGACTTTAGTGACTTGGCCTTAAAAAAAGAGACTTTTTAGTGACTGACTTGAAAAAAGTGACCAAGTCACTAAAAAGTGACTCGCTACCAGCCCTGACATTACTGTCCAATGTTTCTAAATTCCTATCCAATGCTACATACGTCCTTTTGAAAAGTTATGCTTGAAATACTCATCAATATTTTTAAAAATGCTCTTTTACTGCGAAGCTACCTAGATTTACTGTCCTGCCCGAGCATTTAATCGATTCAATATTGCAAAAAACCATCTTCTCGTTTGTTCTGTCAAATGCCATGCAGAATAAGTAAGCTTAAAATATTTCCCATTCGACTGGCAGGCAGCACATTTTCTCTTGTTCCGCATCGCAACTCACTCGCAACTCCGGTCGTCAATATCGTGCCCTTTCCTGCAAAAAACCGACATTGAAGTTGCGTGCAAGTCTATGAAACTTGCACACAACTCAAGAAGCAACATTTAAAGCGACGCTTCGCTTCTCCTTACAAGAAATGACATTTCTCAGCTTTGTTTGCAAACAAGCGAACGATAGTGGCCGTAGTGTTGTTTTCAAACAAAGTCCAAAGTTTTACCTTCGTGAGTCGGTACGTGATTGAAAACGCACGGTAATGAACTGGACACCGGGTAAAATAGTCGGAACGGTGAAACCAGCCGGTGCAAACGTTGCAGCCATACCGGCACTGGTGCTCACACCCGTCCCGGCACCTTCATATTCACTGATACAGCAGACAAGCCTCGCCACAGTTGTGCCGGTACCGGTACCAGCACCGGTTCCGATAACGGGATCAACATCCCGAGTCGCAAGTAGCAGCAGTAGCATTGCAAAGTCAACTAGCAGCAGCGTGGGAAAACTTCAGGGAACCGTTCAGAGTCAGCCGTCCGGTGCGAACAAAATTCTCGGCACCATAAAAGTAGCCGGCAGTGATCAACCGGGTGTCAGTTCGGATCAGTTGACGAAGTAAGTACAGTCAGCATTCGTTGGTTGAGGCGAAACCTCATTCCATCTACCGAATGACTTTTGATATTCGGGACGGTTTTGAAGCTGTCATTCTAGTTTTTCATGCTAAACAGCTCAGTAGATTATTTCCTAGCAGGCATGGACAATCATTTACATTCATTTGCCTTCAACTTTTTTCATCAACAGAATTTCGTTATATAATGTATTAAGCTTTTAAAGGTTTTGATATTAGCTACAATTTGTGTCAAGAACTCAAATATTTATCTCTTATGTATGATGAATCAGAGCGAACAGAACCCACCATTGTTTTTCAGTGAATGTAAATTACATTCATTGAAAAATAATAACAATTTCGTCCCGCTCTAGTTCATAATGCATAAGAGTTACAGATTTGAGTTATTTGCAGAAGTTTTAGTTAATATCAAAACCTACAAAAACATACTACATTATATAAAGGAATTCTGTTGATGTAAAAAGTTGGAGGCAAATGAATAATGGATGTAAATGGTTTCCATGACTGTCAACAAGGAAACTTCTAGGATAGATTCATATTGTGAGGATTTAAAAAAAATAGATATCAGTAGTTTATTTCTTAGAATTAAATGAGCTTCAAAATAGAGGAGAAATGAGGGTAAAATTCCCAAAGTGGACAAAACATGTCCCTCTTATAGCTCAACTGCTGGTTAATGTGATGTCGAAAAATTGCTGCCATACGTTAAACTTTAAACGCACTATATGAATGGAAGCAAAACACTTTTTGAAGAAAGTCATTTGAAATTGATTTAATTGAAAATCAATTTTGGCACAAAACCTCGCAAAAATCGAGGGAGGCGACACATCCAAATCTCAATTTTAGATGCTCAAAAAATCTCACACTAGCGAATCAATCTTCGAAAAATCTTATTGCATTTCTCACATCTACTTGCATCGCGCATCATCTTTTTGCAGGAAATCATCAGAATCGTCATCAATCTTCTTTCTATCTACTCAGCGTGCGAGCAGCTAGCCACAGCACAACACAATCTTTCCTGCAGCGTAGATAGAGTCGCCCCCCTCGGCAAAAATAGTAATTTCTTGAGACAGTTGGTTTCTTTGAATATTTCCAAATGAATGATTTGATTGATGCAAGTTGTTAGATACATCCTTCATCCTTCGGCTAATAGATCGAATGGCATATTTATTTGAAAAATTGTAGTTATTTTCACCGCTACAATGTGTTACTCTAAGTGGGGTTTAATGAGTCCTACGAATTTTAATGTGGAAAGCATAACAATCAGGTGTGAACCTTTGATATACAATTGGGAATGAATAAAGATAAAGCCAGTATGCGCAATTTGAACCTCAGTGTTTTGTAAACAAGTTTTTGTAGGCCTTTCCATTTTCAGCAACAGCCATAAGAATCCCTTAGTGCATTGGTTGCTTTACAGTACTTTCATTGAAATTTCAAAGTTACAGCATTAGATAGTTACATATTTCCAGTTCGAACAAAACCTTCCTTTTGATGGAGCCCATTAGTGCCCGCACAGTGGAAACGGACACATTTGCTGGATGTCCTTGACTGCCCCGCCGCTTCGTCGAAGTCGATTCTTTGAAATTGCCCAGTATTTTTCGATTGGTTGAAATTCCAGGCAATTCGGAGGATTCATTGGCTTGGGAACAAAATCGATCTTGTTGCTAGCATACCACTCCAGAACAACCTTTTAGTAGTGGCAGCTGGCCAAATCGGGCCAAAAGATGACTTTGCCCCTATGCTTGCGGATGAATGGCAATACACGATTTTTCAGGCATTCTTCGATGTAAACTTGGGATGTCATCGTCGAGGATGTGACGACTGGTTCCGTTTTAAAGCCACAACAGAAAATCACTTGCCAAATCATGGCCTTCTTCACGATTTTGAACCTTTCCGGCACATCCCCACGTCCAGTCGCGTTGTAAAACTTTTGACCGGGAAGCTGCTTACAATCAAGTTTGACGTATGTTTCGTCATCGATCAAAGTGCAGCCCTTGTGTTTCGTCAAAACACGGTCGTACAAGAGCCTTGCACAATTTTTGGCCACGGAATTCTGCTTCATGTGCCGGTTCTGATGTTTACTGGCTTTGTACGACTTGTATCCTTTCCTGGCAAGGATGTTCCGCACCGTTTGAAAGTTGGCGTTGTAGTTTCTGGCCACATATCGGACCGAAAGACCGGGGTTGGCTTTAACGCACCTCAACACTTTGCTGCGCAGCTGACGATCTCTGGATCCAGATTTTTCGTAGGTCCGCTGATTCCTTTCCACACTTAGAGTTTTCGTGTAGGTTTTGAGCCGACCATTCCAGATTTTACAGGTGTTTGTGCACAATATTTTCTTCTTTCGAGGTCCATTTGACGTTATTTCTGAACGCGATCGACTACTTTGATCAAACATGCACCAGTTGTTCTCTATAGAAGTGTAAACAAACCACACTATCAAAGATTTTCGATTCCCAGCACTAGAGGCGTGCTAGCGGCACGCGAGGGGCGTACCAATTTACTTTTAGTCAGCCTTTAAGGAAATGTGTTTTTTGGTAAATTTTCTGGGAATGGTTTCCCGGGATAACACTGGTAGGAAACACTAATTCTCTGTAAATACGAACGATGTTTTTACCATGGTTTGATTTCCGTCGATCTTGATTTTTGTACTGAGTACACGGCGAATGAGAACGAGTCAAATTTGAGTTTAGTTTACCCATAAATCACAAAGTGCAGGAGTAAAATATTCGTCAATTTTCCTCATTTACCATCTGATTCAAGATTCAAGAATCTTGAGCTAAAGTCTAGAATGTACATATGCTCTAATAGCATAGAGGTAACTCTAAGTCCAAAAGATCCCGAAGAAACGTGCTCAACTTTTTGGCTTAGCTCTGGTTCTCTCTTCGGTCCCAAGCTAATCGATGCACCCCTCGAAACATAGGAAAATCCACGAACCCCTCATTTTATCTGTCAAACTTTCATAGTGAATCAAAACAAACATAGTGTAGTACTAGAATTTTGAATAGAATGGGGTACGTTAATCGATTTGCTTGGGACCAATAGGCTAGTCGTTAGTTTCCACGGGTTGTTATAACTCTGTAGTCTGAACAAGGCATAACACGATATTGGTATACTACCTACCATTGGTCATTTACATAAGTGTCTGTTTTTATCATTTACCATCACACGCAAGGAGTGGCTTTTCAACCCAGTGTAGATGAATTGCTTTTTTTTTTTTTAATCTTCGCTGTTACGTACGAGAAAAATAAACAAATGAGTTCATTATACTTCAACGAATACGCGTTTGTCGATATTCATCAGTACTGTCAAAATCAGCAGCGATCCTCAAAAGCAAAATAATCAAATTAATGCCTGTAAATTACTGATTACCTATTCCTGATACATTCCTCGTAAATTTGACCGATAATTAAGGGGTAGGTCACTCCGCACACCAATCTTGGGTCATCTTTTTTGCCAGTGTGCCTCAAGTGTGCCGGTCATAGAGAAAGCTGTGATTGTTTGTAAAATACCCATCCCGGCAACCCGGTATTTCTTACACCTTGAATGTTTGTAGTCACAAGGATAAAACGGATTGAAGATGACGTGGGAAGTGTTCATAAGATAATAAAAGTGCTGTATATTAGGGTTTTATTTTAATGCCCTCAAAGGTAGACTAGAAACCTAGCCTTTCGTGATGTGAAAAGCAACTGTCTATCAGCGGCCGGAAAGAGTTGGAACCGGTGAGGAACTTTGTTGGAGACCGGCTACAGAGGATGATGAATATGACTTCTGTAGTTTGTTTTGTGTGCGTTGCAGCATTATTTGAATTAAGGATACTAATGGGATTTGATTAACTGCCTCTTTCTCTTGAGCCCACTCTAAAACCTACATTTCGTATTTAGATCTATAAGTAAACCGAGAAGTGAACTGCTGGTCTGAGTACCTCTGGTATATTGAATTGGAGGATGTTCCTGAATATACAGTCAAACAGCGCGTAATGTTGTGAACACTTCAATGACAGTTGTCCAGCAGTGCTCCCAATTTTTTACAACAATCCACGAGATTGTGCCGAAGGTGTGCCGATGGATGTGCCCATCGAATGTGTCGAATCTAATTTCGATAGAATGTGCTGAGTGACTTACCCCATGCCGATAATACAAAACCATCCATGTACCTCACTGACTATCATAACCATTACCATTACAGTTCTCAAACTATTAGTAAAAAGGTACTTTTATAATTCTATTTTCGAAAATTTATGAAAAAAACAACTAGGGTAAATGTTGGCTTCGGCACCCATTGACTGTTTTCGGCAACCAAAATTTAAACGATAATTTCACTATGTTTTCCCATCAACACACTTCCCTGAATGTATTCAAACGATTCTTTAGTCTTTCAGCTTCAATCTGATTATATTTGTACGACCGAGCAATCCTATTATGCCAGATTTTTCTTCAAATGAAGTATACGCACTACAAAATGGGGCTGATTTCGAGTTGCCGATAATAGAACAGCTGGTTAACACGCAGTTCTAATGGGAAGGTTGCCGAAGAAAAAGAGGCTGCCGACAATAGTCACACTCACCTGAGAAGTTTGGAGCGTTGTAAAATCGCTTTCAAACCGGTTTGAAAAATTCTGTCGATTGGAATGGATAGAGAAGCAAGCAGCAGATGAATGTTAACAAACAGACACGTGATATATGTGCGTAACGCTGACAAAATGCTAATAGAAGTGCGGACGCTGCTTAGATTGACGAGAATACGTAAATTCCCCTATTTTGAATGGTAATAATGGTAATAACCCATAATTTGTAAGGTTCACTTCCAAAAAGCCATAATTTACATAAGGTTAAAACTTTATCACACAAAAGTTCGCGCCTATCGACAAGGTCATTCGCCCAATCCGCATCGGCAAACGCTTCGATTACCGGTGCCAAATCCTTCACCGAAAACACTAGTCCCAAGTCCAGCGTTCCTTGAATGTACCGCAGTACTCTCTTCGCGTGCAC